CTGCTGTGCTTTGTGGCACTGGTCCTCCACTGAGGTGATTCTGCCCGCCAGCAGACATTGGATAACACCTGGGGATATTTTTGGTGGTGATACCTGGGAAGAGGTGCAACTGGCACTTTACGGGTAGCAACTAGGAATAACGCTAAGTATCTTATGATGGATGGGACAGCAAAGACTGGCCCGACTATCTGGGGGAAACCCTAAAACAAAACAAAACAAAAAAAATTACTTTCCCTTCTTGTGAGTGTCTTAACAAAAAAACAACAACAAAAAAAAAACATGTCAAGACAGCTAATCAGAAAGAGTCTGGACATTTGTTCCTACAATTCAGATTCAGCCTTTTTCACTCATGCTCAAAAGCAACAAAAACACTACCTACATTCCAACTTAGTTCAGGCCTAACATTGCAGAACTCAAGAACAGACAGACATAGCAACAGGGCTGCATGAAGTGTGGCCCACCATCAACCAAGAACAACATGAGAACCCAGAGAAGGGCACCTAACAGCTGCTGATATAATTAAAATTATATCAATTCAGGAGGCTGAGGCAGGAGGGTCACCGTGAGTTCAAGGCCAGCCTCAGGTAAGAGTTGGTTCAAGGCCAGCCTAAATGACATAGTAAGACCCTGTCTAAAAAAAACAAAACAAAACAACAACAAAACAACAAGTATATTTTATATATATATATTCGATTATAGATGACTAAAGGTACTTTAAATAAATTTTTTCAAGAGAAAAAGCTTCTTCCACAAATATTAGTTCATCTTAAGCAGCCATGACAGGGATACCACATGCGAGTTTTAGAAAGCCAGATACAGTGTGGAGGAGGTGCATTTTGTATCTCAGGCACATCTAAAGTACTACCTACTGAGACCCAACGCCAGCCTACATTAAGACATGTTCCTTGCTTTAACCTATGTTTATAAATTATGTGGCTGATACCAAAAGACAGAGGTACTTGTATATATATTTAAAATAATTTGTGAAGAATTATTGCTTTTCACTTTTCCCCCAATCTTCTGAGACATTTTCTTTACCAGTTTAATTACAATGGAAATTAACAATTCTTGGTAAATGAGATGTATATACTTTAAATCCTTGCCTTGTAATTCTTTTTCTGGCTTGTTAGAAGTTTCTGAACAGAGCATCAAAACTGACTTATAGTATTCCTTCAGGAATCTCAGGATGATTAGGATGTAACATTCAACAGTTAATGGAAGAACTGCATAACTCTATAAATTATATGACATCTCAATCAAGACACTTTTAAAAGCCAATGGAGTTTCCATTTTATTGTCTCATTAGTTTCATTAATTTACTCAACACATCTAGGAAAAATGAGTATTTTAGAGGGCCAAAATTTGCCAGACATGGTGGCACATGCCTATAATCCTAGCATTTGGAGGCTGATTACTGAGACTGTCTAAAAATTTTTTTTAAAAACTATTTCATATTTCCAAAAGCAATTCTAAGTACTACACTTATAGTCAAGCCTGATCCCCCCACCCGCCCACCAAAATCTTTTGCTAACCAAATAACAATCTAAAAAAGTAGTCTGAGTCACCAAGTTTTGCTTTCTAAAAGAACAGATAGATCTCCACCCTCCCTAGCACAGAGAACAACAAAGGACCTAACAAAAGTTTCCCAGAATAAACATTACTCAAAAAACTGAGAACGACCATAGCAGAAATTCTTACTTGAATAAACAACAGAGATAGCAGCAGAGAACAAACAGCTAAAAACTATTGTATGGCTCAACACACATAACCAATAGCTCTCAGCTTTCATAAACTTGGGCTTTAAAATCCTGGCCCAACTCACACTATGAACGGTGAAAGACTTTCCTACTGGTCAAGCAAGGTCACCTCCGAAGCAAGTGAAGAAAGCAAATACCTATGTAGCATTGATATGCATACCAAAATATTGTATTTTTCTAATTATTTTTTTAAAGAGAAAATTATTTCCCATTTAAATGACACTCTTCTGAGCACAGAAGACATATTCAGGCTGAAATGTTTTCTATAGAAATGCATCTATTTTTTTTTCTGGGGTCCATGAAAAAGTTCAGTCTAAGTTGTACAAAATCAGTCATAACTTCTCAATTTGTTTTCTCTTCTTGTTTTTTCCTTTTTTTTCAACACTTGGGATCGAACTCAGGACTTCGCACTTGTGAGGCAGGCTGTGGCACCAATGAGCTAGATCCCCAGACCTTGTCCTTGTTTTTTGAGACAGGGTATCAATATGCAATTCAGGTTAGCCTCAGATTTGCAGCAATCCTCCTGCCTCAGCCTCCCAAGTGCTGGGATTACAGGTGTGCACCACCATGCCAGACTACTAACTGCTCAGTTTGTAATATAGCACTTAAGTCTGTGGAGCATTTTTCAACGTGGCGCACAGAAAAATATATTTTACCAAGCTTTCTTCATGCTTCTTCTACTTTAATTTACTGCAATTAATCTGCTAACTCAATGCATTATTATACTCACAATACAAGTAAATTCTTTTTTTTTTAAAGCGAATGCTTAAGTAACCAGGTAGGATAAAATATGTGAATAATTTTAATGCAAAATTAGCTGTCTTTTCACTTGCGTAAAGAAAAATGGAATATGAGAAAGGGTCATCACAAAATAAATATTATAAACTCTTGAAAATACAAAAAAACCCTTTCTGTTTTCATTTCAGGGGAAAATGGGTTAATTGATATTGCCTGTTTAACTTTGTTTTTAATTACTAACAATCAAAATTATCAAGGTTACTATCCCAGGGGAGAACACGATACTACTGCAGTAGCTATTGGCTATTAACTTTCAAGCAATTGTTTACTTTTAATTTGCAAACTAAACTAGGAGCTAATTTATCTAATTAATGCAATTTACAGTAACAGGACCAATGCGCCATGATTTAGAAAGGCTAAGAAAAAAATTTAATGATGTATATAGAGAATCACATATACATGTCCCTTCAATTCTTTGTAGTATTGTTTACATGCATGGTTTTTTGTCCCTTATACCATCCATATACAAATACATTTAATTTAGTACATAACACAAGTAGATCCATGCATTTCTATGGTAGTTGCAGATAATGTGGTTAACTTCAGCCGACATCTGTGCCATACATATGGCCATCAAAATAATCATGACATGCTTTTGTGACACCAAAAGAGGCCAAGCCTGTCGTGAAATGATTCCTTCCAACAAAAGCCTGCTTAAATTATTGTTTAGCTATATGGCATACAGCCAAAATAACAGTATCAGAAAGTTGCTGTTGCCTTTGACTGGCCAATTCTCAACTTCTTTGCAAAACAAGATAAGCACCATCAGAGATTACTCTAACTGTGAATTCAGATTTTTGATTCATGCTTCTTCAACAAAACTATTCCATTTGATCCCAAATCTTGGCTGCTCCCTTGGCAGGATAATGGCCATGGCGCACTGCAGACAGTGGATGGCTTTCATGCTTGCCCAGGAAGCTTCACTGCAGACGACTCTAGACTCCAGACGAATCTACACTCAGCACTTAGACAGACTTCTTTGTTGTTTTAGTATCAAAGCGTCACTTATCTTTTTCTAATCCTGTCCACTCCCACACCACAGAGAATCTCTTTTCTAATGAGAAATTAGGGAGTTTTGCAATTTTTGCCTAATTTATTGTAAAGTAAGTTCTTTGGGCTGGTGAGGTGTTCTGGATACTGAAGTTACAAGTACAAAATGAACATTGTCCTCCAAAGGTTGTCCTATTAGTCACAAAAGAAAACAAAACAAGAATCTGACTGAGTTTTGCTGACTGTAACTGAGGAAACAATACTCAAAACAATTTCCTAAAGGAAACATCTCTAACAATCTTGTAGCTTTAAGTGGTCGCTTTTGCCCCTTTTTCCTGCAAAGACATCTGTGAAATTAGAACTCTGTGCTCCAAATACATACGGCAACATCAACGATGAGATTTCTAGCCAGAAACGGTTAGTGTGTAAAGTGTGCGAAGCTGTGTAGAGACGGATAAGCAGAAGTAAATGCCTAGGACCTAACCCTTTAGGCTTAACTTCTGACATCGCAAGACTAAGAGGAGACATTTAGCGGCCGGAACTGGATTTCTCAGCCAGCCAGCTCTACGTGTGCAGGGGGCGGGTCTCTTTTCACCGGACTCAGCTGCAGCGTTATCAAAAATACCTTAGTGATTTAAAAGTAAAGGGGAAAGAGAAAACAACAAGCCCAGGTTTCGGATTGCCTGCAGGAGGTTAAACTGCTCCGAGAGCAAAATAAGCGCGCAGGCGCATCCTCAGGTTGTCAGGAATCAACGTAAGGACCCATGAACATTAAGGAAGTGTATCCTGCACGCTCCGGGCCGCAGCCTTTTTGTTTGGGTTCCCTAGGTTAAACGTAGCAATTGCGTTTTTAATGACTACAAACAGGAGCAGAGTTATTACCGAATCGCTTTGAGAGATGTTTACTTTTAAACGTGCTGCTCAAACCAGTTCGCTTTTAGAAAAGGGATATTATTTTCAGGGCAAACGTAACACTACCCAACTGCACACCCAAGAACACAATCACAACGCCCCAATTTATGTGTTTTAAAGGTGTGAACTAGTTTACTTCCCAGGAAAGCCATCAAGAACAAACTACCCTCCAACAAAGCCGAGTAGAACCATGTCTTGAGCACTGGAGTGGGGTGCAGGCTGCAGACTAAATTTTGCGCGTCCGTGGGAACGGCGAGGGGCCTAGGGACTTTGCTAGGAAAGCCGGGCCAGCAGAGTTTCGGTCTCTGCTGCAGGACCGCGGATCGCGGCGGGGAGTGGGTGCCTGGAGTCACCTTGGCGACGTCAAACTTGCTTTATGAAGGAATTCGGTTAACCCAGCCTGACACATCCCAGCTTTCGGGCACCAGCGGGCAGCTGCCTCTCCTTCCCGGCGCGCACAGATGCAACCCCGGCCACGGCGGGTGACAGCCCCGAGACAAAGCCGCGGACCCCGAGCCCCCGGGACGAGCCCCCTGCGCCTACCTTGATGCCCTGCTGCTGTGTGGTGAGGGTTAGCTTGGATTCGTCCAGGAGCAAAACTTCGCAGTAAAATTCTTCCGGAACAGCGCAGAA